AGATAGATAGATAGATAGATAGATAGACAGACAGACAGACAGACAGACAGATAGATAGATAGATAGATAGATAGATAGATAGAACATTAGAACGATCTAACGATATAATGTTACAATGATAAGAGAGTATGTTAGAACATTAGAATGTTAGATAGAATGTTAGAATGATAGATATAAAGTTAGAATGATAAAACAATAGATAGAACACTAGATAGAACAATAGATCGATAGATCGATAGATAGATAGACAGATAGATAGATAGATAGATAGATAGATAGATAGATAGATAGATAGATAGAGATAGAATGATAAACCAACAGACAGACAGACAGACAGACAGACAGATAGATAGAGCAATATAGATAGAATGATAGACCAACACAGACAGACAGATAGATAGATCATCACATAGAACGATAGATAGATCGATAGAGCAATATAGACAGACAGACAGACAGACAGACAGACAGACAGATAGATAGATAGATAGATAGATAGATAGATAGATAGATTGATAGATTGATAGATAATTACATAGAACGATAGATAGATCGAAATAGAACACTAGATAGAACAATAGATCGATAGATAGATAGATAGATAGATAGATATAGATAGAATGATAAACCAACAGACAGACAGACAGACAGACAGATAGATAGATAGATAGATAGATAGATAGATAGATAGATAGATAGACCAACAGACAGACAGACAGACAGACAGACAGATAGATAGATAGATAGATAGATAGATCATTACATAGATAGGTAGAACATTAGAACGATCTAACGATATAATGTTACAATGATAAGAGAGTATGTTAGAACATTAGAATGTTAGAATGATAGATATAAAGTTAGAATGATAGAACAATAGATAGAACACTAGATAGAACATTAGATAGATAGAACGACAGATGGATAGAATGATAGACAGAATGTTACATAGAACACTAGAATGATAGATGGATCTGCCTATCCATCTATCATTCTAACGTTCTATAACATTCTAACAGTAAACAGTATCTAGCAGAGAGAAACAAAGGATCACACTGAGGGACAGAGTTCATGATAGAGTCCATGCGGCTCTTACAGTAATAGGTTAGAGTGCATTTGGTATCTGAGCAGCCAGAGAGACACTCAGTGAGTGTTAAGGGCAGATGTCCTGCAGTGAGAAACATTACGGCTTCCGATCCCTCAATCAAAAGCAGCCACACTGTGTAATCAATATAGAAAGCACTTTACTGAACATGAGCGCACAGAGACCCATCTGGCCTGCGGGAGAAAATACACTCAAACGCATGGGGAAGAATGAGAAAGCATTACCTTTTTGGCTCTTTGGCTTATATTTGGTCCTTTACTAAGCAGCTTTTCAATCAAGTACTCTTGATTCTACAACACAGAGGCAAGAGGGGAAATATATAACATATATCAGTGACAGACCACTGTGAAGCACTGGTTAAAGCATTTGAAGTATGGAGGGAGAGTATATTGCCTTACCTTAGCCTTTTGGAAAAATTTACATTTCAAAAGCTCGGCTGCAGTGGGCCTGTGGAGATGAGAAAGAGCGCTTGATGCTGACATTTTCAGACAGGTCCACATTTCAAGACTCATCAATAGGACTTTTTTGTCCTGGCCAGGCTGGGCCAGTAGTTCAGATTTTTACTTGACCTGGCGACATTTTCACTGTCCACTGTTTCAATTTTGGAACACATATATACACTGAACAAAATTATAAACGCAACACTATTGTTTATACATACACATATATATATACACATACACATATATATATATATAGCCCTACTATCTGTCCAATGTATTGACCAGATGAGACAGCTGATATAGAATGTAAACAGACCAGCAGCAATTTATTGTCTCAAGATCGCATTAGCTCATCTGTATCTATTTGAGCTACTTTGTCTGCGTGGCATTTCTTTTATTGACTGCGATTTATCTTTAGACAGAACAAACGGCACGTAAACGAAGGACAGACGACCTGCTATTCAATAATATACACAATTCAAATCAATTTGTTTGTTTCTAGTATTAAGGCTTTGCTGAAACTTCTGGTCATGCAAGGAAACCATTTTGCAGACTGCACACCATTCAGCATTTTTGGACACAGATTTACTCATTTGTGTGAACAAATAAGGCAGGTTTGGCAATTCAAATTACCTCTTTGCAGGGTCCTTCTGAAGGCACAAGTATATAAGTTTTCTAAAAGATTTCCCATACTTCTTAAGCATCTCTTTGTCCTCAATTCCAGTCTCCAAGGTTGGAGGATCGTTCTGCAGCGTGAGCATTAAAACCTGCAAAACAGCAGGAAGACATCAGATATGAAAATAAATAGACAGAACAATAGAACGAATCAAAGATAGTTACAGTAGATAGAACAATAGAATGAATCAGAGATAGTTACAGTAGATAGAACAATAGAACAACAGAACAAACAGTAGATAAAACGAACGACAGAACATTAGAAGGAACAATAGATACAGAACTACATCATATGGATGGATGGATGGATGGATGGATGGATGATGATGGAACGACGGAATGGTAGATTGGACGGATGGATAAATGGATGGAAGGATGGATGATGATGATGGAACAACGGAATGGTAGATTGGATGGATGGACTGATGGATGGATGGAAAGACAGAATGGTGGATTGGATGGATGGACAGAATGGTAGATTTGATGGCTGGATGGATGGATGGTTGGATGGATGGAATGACAGAATGGAAGATTGGATGGATGGATGATGGTGGAACGACGGAATGGTAGACTGGATGGACTGATGGATGGATGGAAAGAGAATGGTGGATTGGGGATAGATGGATGGACGATGGAACAATGGAACGACAGACTGGATGGATGGATGGAATGACAGAATGGTAGATTTGATTTATTGGATGGATAGATGTATGCATGTATAGAACAACAGAATGATAGAATGGATGGATTTATCTATAATAAATAGACAGAACAATAGAATGTTAAATAGAACATTAGACAGAATACTCAGCAAAACATTTCCTTTTGTATTTTAGGAAAGAAAGCCTGAACAATCAAAATATAAATTATGATCATTTTCATTCTGGATGAACTATGCTTTTAGTTGGTGCCTGCTGAGCCTGGGACGATGGATGCCTCTGTAAAACCACATTAGATACGGTTCAACTGCACAGGCTTTGCTTTCATTTAGTATACATATGTAATATCGGCAGTACAGACAAATAAAATAAATCACCAACACTTGATTTACTTTGTGTAACTGCTATAATTACATGTGCAAAAGAGGTGATGAAAACAGGTACGTTTACACAAACACACAGCATGAATGGTCACATGAACAGACAGTCGTTGCGTTACCTTCATAGGGGGGTAGCGATGATACGGCGCAGAGCCTGTCGCGAGTTCAATGGTAGTGATTCCGAAACTCCAAATGTCAGCTTTGAAGTCGTAACCCCGTACCTGCGGTCACATGACATGCTAGCGGATCATCAGATGATGGGATGACAGACTATGACCCACACCAATCATAAACAGCTGTTTTTTTTTTATAGCAGATATCCAATTATTAAACAATCTCTATGATCTGCACTAAAATAGTTGAATGGTTATTAATCATTCAGAGTATCGAAAAAGCTCTTAGAAACAGTCTAGCTGTGAACACTCTCATGGTGCCAAGATCCATCATATTTACAGTAGAAGACAGATACACATTGGCTCTGTTACAAAACCTACAGTACTGAGTGTCTTTCTTCTTAGGCAGCAACTTTGCTTCAACTGATTCAGTTAGCATATCGCTGATCTAACCGCATGATACTCGAAGCACAAAAAATGAAAAGAACACAAAAATATTGGGTAAAATTTTAATTACACTAACGTTCAAAAGTTTGGGGTCACTATTTATTTTATTTTTTATTTTTTGCAAGAAACTGATATTTTAATTCAGCAAGGATGCATTAAACTGATCAAAAGTGACAGTAAAGACAGTTTTGAACTTTCTATTCATCAAAGAACCCTGAAAATATGAAGCAGCACAATTGTAATAGTTCATAATGATAAGAAATGTTTCTTGAGCAGCAAATCAGCATATTAGAATGATTTCTGAAGGACCATGTGACACTGAAGACTGGAGTTATGATGCTGAAAATTCAGCTTTGATCACAGGAATAAATTACATTTGAAAATATATTAATAATAGAAAGCAGTTATAACAGTTATTACTGTTTTGATTGTATTTTTGATCAAATACATGCAGCCTTGGTGAGCAGAAAAGACTTCTTTTAAAAAATATGTTAAAAAAACAGTAGCGTAGGTTCAACTATTTTGTATTGAAACTTTTCAGTATTGAATAAATAATAATTATAATCAACATTTCTCTCTTTGTCCACCATCTTTGATGGGTTATGACATTGAGTTTGTCAAGAAATGCATTATGGGATTGTCCTGTGTCTTATAACAATACATGTAATGCTGCTTTAGATTTAGGCCAAAATAGGGTATCTTAGTATTTACTAAACTTCTAGAACAGTCTTCATGTTGTTTTTGTTTAGTTAAAGATTTATTTATTGGCGTTTTTGCCTTTCTTGTCATAGGACAGTGTAGATCTGACAGGTAGCGAAAAGTGAGAGGGGGGCGGGGCTGGATCGGGAAAGGTCCTCAAGCCAGGATTCGAACTCGGGACGCCCACAAGGCTATCGGCACCAGCCTTCGTGTTGAGTGTGCATCTATTTTTAATTATTTAAAATGCTTTCTATGTAGACAGCTCACTAGGTTTTTGAAACGGATCCACTTGTGCATGTTTAATGCTGGCCCTCTGAGCAAACTGACCTGCTCCATCACCTCAGGGGCCATCCAGCACGGGGTCCCCACAAATGTTTTCCTCACTTTGTGTCTAGTGACGTCTCCACCGGTGGCCAGAAAAGCACTCACACCGAAATCTATAGAGAATGATTAAAAACCTCATCATACCCTCAAATAACATCTACTGCAAAATCTGCTGACAGTTGGAAAGTAAATGTTTTAACTGAAAAATTTGACATGCATGAAAATGAAAGATAGACATACAGTCTGATAAGTTAGTTGTACTGTCTCATACCTTTATGTCTATAAATCACTGAAAATATTGCTTTCCAAAAAATATGACAATTAGATGTGAACTATGATATTTGATACAGAGCAACCATGTGAACAGACTGTATGTCTACCTTTCACAGCTTTATTTTCATTTGTGTCAAACATCTGCTGTGCTTTCAACAATCAGAAATGTGAACGAATCCTCACAAAATATATCAAGAACATGTTCAAAGTCATTTACAGCCCAAAATCAAATTAAAAAAATAAAATAAAAAAGTATATATATATATAGTCTAAAACTGTCTGTCAAACATTTCAATAGAAAAATCTCTGATTTGAAGTACAATCTGAACAAAGGAGAGCCAAGGTCACTATTGGAAACCCCTGTTATATAAAACCGATCAATATTCTAGATCTAGATCAGCCAGTTTCCCCTCAGGGACGGAAAAAGCCCCATTTCAGGAATTTAACACTTCTCCACACTACGATCAGTGTGTCTCAGGCCTGTTTTTCTACTCTCCTTTATGTGGTTCTAACACACAAATTCATAAAACAAAATTAAACGGAGAACAAAAGTGGGGAATATATTATCTTTTAATAATCAAACCATAATTAACCTCAATGAAAGAAAATTTTAAAAAATGTTTTAAAGTGGCTTTACTGACTGATTAAATCACTGCTAGGTTATTGCTTTTACAGTTAGCATAATTAAAGCTAATTACCAAGGTTTAAAAAGCAATATAATCTCTCTAAAGGCCCATAACTGTTGCTTTTTAAATTGACAACCAATATTAATTAAAGCAGGATTTTTAAAGGATTTTTTTTTAAAGAAAGCTTAATCACCTCATGGCTATAAATAACTTCTTAAGGAGCAACTGAATAAAGAATGCATTGGTCAAAATCAGTTAAGAGCAACAAAGAATTTTTAAATATATTCTGAGTCATAAATATTATACAGGTATATATTTTTTTATGTTTTCCCCTGAGGTTCACTTATAAAGTCCTAATTTAGTTTTTCATGACCATTTTACCTGCTATCGTACTCCTGTAATTAAACAGGCAGGTTTTTTTAGGCAGTTTCTTTAAGACATCTATGTAAATGTTGACTTTGCATGTGAAATAAGATGAAGCACGTATTTGCAAGCCGCGGATTTGTTGTCGAGCCCATCTAGTATTTAACTGCCCAATGGAAAAGTCTGGAGATGTTAAATGCCAAGATGCTGGTGGTTAGCTTACTAAGACAACAAAAAAAGATCAAAACATTTGAGAAAATCTACACATTTCAGCAAAGTCAAAGTCAAGCAAAGCTACAAACCTGCGATCTGCACCGATCCATCTTCTCCCAGTAGAATATTACCAGCCTTCACGTCCCTGAGGTCAAACCGAGACAAAGCACATCCATGTCACGGTTTATTATAATCTTAAACATTAACAATAATGCCAGTGGCTAAAGAATGAATCTACATGTTTATGAATTTTTTAAGACCATTATTACAGCAGTGATGGCCTGGAGGGAAAAGACCTCATTAGTATTTTCCAGCACTTAACATTCAGAGGAGCTTAATTGAATCATATGTTACACTAGTCTCACAAAAACAGACGTTTGATTATCAGCATAAAGTCTGACCCACTTAGCATCTTATTTGGAGCAAGAATTGTAAACTTAAAGGAACAGTTCGCCCAAAAATGAAAATATGCTTGAAATTTACCTCGGGCCATCCAAGATGTAGAGGAGTTTGTTTCTTCATGGGAACAGATTTGGAGAAATGTAGCATTCCATCACTTGCTCACCAATGGATGCTCTGCAGTGAATGGGTGCCGTCAGAATGAGAGTCCAAACAGCTGATAAAAACATCACAATAATCCACAAGTAATCCACACTGCTCCAGTCCAGTGAAAAATTCCATCTCCTGTTGTCTCTCACATCAAAATATTTGTTTAGAACTGTTTTTTTGGCTGTTTTCACTTGTAAACGGTGCATATTTCTCTCCTGATTCAGACAAGATGACTTTTTCACTGGAGAAAGCAATGTTATGAATAGAGGACTCGTATTTTAACTGGAAACAAACGGATAAAAGTTAAGACATCTTAATGATGGATTTATTTATTACAAACTCACAGCTTTTCACTTCACAAGATGCTAACTGATGGACTGGAGTGATGTGGATTGCTTGTGGACTATTGTAGTGTTTTATCAGCTGTTTGGACTCTCATTCTGACGGCACCCATTCACTGCCAGAGGATCTATTGGTGAGCAAGTGATGTAATGCTACATTTCTCCAAATCTGATCTCATGAAGAAACACAAACTCATCTACAGTTTGGATGGCCTGAAGAAGAGTATGTTTTCAGCTAATTTTTATTTTTGGGTGAAATATTCCTTTAAACAAAGACAGTCTGAAAGGCATGCAAAATGACCAGCCACGGTTCATTTTGTCATTGTCATTTTTTCCATACCTGTGAATCTGCCCATTTTTGTGTAGATAATCTAATCCTTCCAGTACTTCCTTCAAAATGGTTGCTATTGTAGATTCATCTAGGACACCGTTTTTATGCTCTCCTTTGCTGAACGTGTGCTTTATGATGTCTAACACTGATCCTGGACGAATAAAACGCTTTGTAATCATACAAAAATTTTCAAATCTACAAAATATATATGCATATAACACATACAGAGGCCAAAAATAGTATTTGGACATATCAACTATATGAATGTCATTGCATTAGATAAATAGATATAACATCAAATCAAGTCACATTTATTTTAAAGCACACTTTTCAGGCAAAACATTTTATAAATAAGCTTATTTTAAATGATGAAACATCACATATAGTGTTGAAAATGAACATGTCCATAGTTCACTGAAAAGATTTTTCTCACCTCCACTCAGGAGCTTCATGACCAGCCAAAGTTCATCTTTCACAACAAATGAAGTATAGTAGGTGACCACGTTGGGATGGTTACACTGGCTCATGGCTTGAATCTCTTTCTGTGGAGACAGATGGAGGTGTCTAGCTTTATAATGCATGTCTTTAATAATGTCCATGTGCTTTATAATGCATGCACATCAAAGTAATTGCAATGGCAGAAACAGAGAAGCTCTTGAACCGATTTATAATAGACAGTATTCACTAATAGAATGAATCTCGCAAAGTCTGTTAAGAACAAGGCCAGGCCATATTTCACACCAAAATCAAAAGAAAGGAGGAAGAAATTTAAGCCCATGTTTATGACTATTATTTTTATTTTTGATAAAACATGTAAATAACATTTACACACATTTTTTCATTACCATATTGGAAAAAAACTCTATTCTTTAAAATTGCATATTATTTAATTTTTTTAAGTATTTATACATGAAGGTAAAAATTACTGTATGACCTTTAATTAATGCAAATTTTAAAAAAAATTGAATGTAATAAAAGTATTAAAAAGTTTGATTGATTTACATGAATCAGTTCAACCATGGACTGGAATCACTGTCCATTTCAATTATTTGATTCAATTTGATTCAACAATTCATTTGAGTCATCATTCAGAAATTAATCTTTCTGTGTAAATGATTTAAATGTTTTAGCAAAAATAAGCATGTACATTTTCTGTTATGTCCCTACATATTTCGTTATATTGGTGTAATTACATGAAAATGATTAGTAAAAAAACATCTAATTTTTAGTATAATTTTAAACTTACATTAAACATTTTGAATCTTTGGTTGAAATGACAGTTCCTTTGATTGAAAAGAAAAAGGAGCAAGCGTAATTGTTATAAATATGATAATATACAGACATTTTTATACTATTATAAGGAATACTAATAAGGAAACTTCATTTGTGAACACAACAGACAAATTCTTATCCTTGAAATCTGCAGTGGCAATCAATGCTTCAATACTGATGCTGTTTTTCAATTTATTTCAATGCAGAACTCATGCATGAATGTGCAAGAAAAACCTGTTTAGCTTGTGCATGTAAGCATGCATACAACTGATAAAAGTAATTTCACATATTCCAATAATATAAGGCATTAACAAAAGGACCACAGGATGCAGACCTGAAGTAAATTGAAAAAGTGCATTGCATATGTGCTGTCTGGATTCAGCATAAATTTACACAAACCATATTTCTGTGTCAGCCAATTTGAGAGTAAATCGGAGAGATGTTTATAGCAGAATCCCATCTCCGGGAATAAACTTGTTTTCGTGACAGAAAAGTCATTAATCAAACCATCAGTTTCCAATCTCACTGCACCAATTAGTATAATTTTAAACTTACATTAAACATTTTTAATCTTTGGTTGAAATGACAGTTCCTTTGATTGAAAAGAAAAAGGAGCAAGCGTAATTGTTATAAATATGATAATATACAGACATTTTTATACTTATTAAGGAATACTTATAAGGAAACTTCATTTGTGAACACAACAGACAAATTCTTATCCTTGAAATCTGCAGTGGCAATCAATGCTTCAATACTGATGCTGTTTTTCAATTTATTTCAATGCAGAACTCATGCATGAATGTGCAAGAAAAACCTGTTTAGCTTGTGCATGTAAGCATGCATACAACTGATAAAAGTAATTTCACATATTCCAATAATATAAGGCATTAACAAAAGGACCACAGGATGCAGACCTGAAGTAAATTGAAAAAGTGCATTGCATATGTGCTGTCTGGATTCAGCATAAATTTACACAAACCATATTTCTGTGTCAGCCAATTTGAGAGTAAATCGGAGAGATGTTTATAGCAGAATCCCATCTCCGGGAATAAACTTGTTTTCGTGACAGAAAAGTCATTAATCAAACCATCAGTTTCCAATCTCACTGCACCAAAACAAAGATCAATGGAAAACAACCCAGTCATGAGTGTCGGAGTGAGAGGCCTGCTGTCTGTGTCTGTGTGTGTGTGTGTGTGTGTGTGTGTGTGCAAATGATTACAGTAGGGAAAGCGCACTCTATGAGAGAAGCATGAAGTATGTGTGTCTCTGACATTTTTGAAAAACTAGGGCAGTCAAAACTGAAAATGTTGGCTAATGATTAATTACTACACAGATAATTGTGATTAACGATTTATTGACTTACACATGCACATTAAGAAGTCATTTATTCATTCAAAATCATTAAATGTGAAGTGTTTGTTGAAGAAATTAATTTTCTCTGTGAGAAAATGATTTTTAGTGCAAATTAAAGAAAACTTTTTAAGACTTAACTTTTTAAGATTAAACAATATGATATGCTTCAATAGAAGCATTAAGTCAGGATGAATTTCAAATTGATTGTTTAAATAATTTAAAAAATATTTATTAATTTATTTCTAATATAAAACTTTGCAGAGAGTTTAGAGGCAATTGTCCAATCCCACAAAGCATTGAGAATGACATAAGAGAATCAACCAATTTTTACATTTGTATACAATACATTCAAGTTTGGGGTTGTTAAGGTTTTTATTTATTTAATTTTTTTAATGTTTTTGAAAGAATATGTTTTGTTTTTGTTCACCAAGGCTGCATTTATTTGATCAAAAATACAGTAAAAAGAGTAATATTGTGAAATATTATTACAATTCAAAAAAGCTGTTTTCTATTTGAATATATTTTAAAATGTAATTTATTTCTGTGATGCAAAGTTGAATTTTCAGCATCATTACTCCAGTCTTCAGTGTCACATGATCCTTCAGAAATCATTCTAATATGATGATTTGCTGCTCAAGAAACATTTATTATGATTATCAATGTTGAAAGCAGTTGCGTTGCTTAACTTTTTGTTGGAAACCATGATTTTTTTTTTTTCAGGATTCTTTGATGAATAGAAACTTCAAAAAACAATTTATCTAAAAATAGATATAATTTGTAACATTTTAAATGTCTTTAAGGTTACTTTTAATTTAACACATCTTTGCAAAAAAAAAAAACACTAATTTCTTAAAAAATAAAACTTACTCTAAACTTTTAGAGACATTTAGCTTTACATCACACGCTCACCAATGAAGAAAGTAATATTATGGAGAGAGGAGATTCGTTTCTTAAAAACATGAAGTTTTTCAATTCACATGACATTAACTGATGGACTGATGTGGATGACTTGTGGATTATTGTGATGTTTTTATCAGCTGTTTGGACTCTCATTCTGACGGCACCCATTCACTGCAGAGCATCCATTGGTGAGCAAGTGATGCAATGCTGCATTTCTCCAAATCTGTTCCCATGAAGAAACAAACTCATCTACATCTTGTATGGCCTGGGTTCATGTTTAATTTTTGGGTGAACTACTACTTTAAGATTATTGTTAAATGCCTATGATGAAAACGAATGGGGAAAAATGGAACCAAAAGATGTTTGTCCAATGTCTGCCCAGCCCAGTCAGGCTGCTCAAAAAAGCAAATTGCAATTTCCCTGTAACTAATTGCATTTCCATGTAATGTGTGCATGTTTACATGCATATGCATGTGTATGGCAGAATCTGCATGAGTACAAAGCTGTTTTTATGTTGTTCCTCACCAACAGCTCATCCATGCTGGTCTGGCATTTCTCCAGGTTGATTCTCTTGATGGCCACACGCTCCTGTCGAGGGCTACAAAGCGCTGCTTGGACGACTGCTGTGGCTCCGCTACCTACAAAACACAGTGTACACGTCTCTAATGAACAAAGCGCACGGTGTGTCAAAGACATTATTCTAAATGAAAGGCAGACAGTAAACATGCCCTCTGGAATATAAAAGCTTGTGCACAGCAGGTGCAGCTGATCATATGATGTGCTTATAGGATTGATAACAGACGTGTGTGACGCTGTGATAAGTAGCTTTACTGTAAGAGAGACAAATTGCATGCAAGTTGTTATTTCTAAATCAATGTATCTAAATCAATTACAATTTAAATTCAAATGTAAATTTTTATTTTCAATTATTAGCATGATGTAAATATTATTTACACAATGTTGTGTGTTGGGTGTGTTAATATACAGTATATATATATATATATATATATATATGTGTGTGTGTGTGAGTGTGTGTGCGTGTGTGTGTGTGAGTGAGTGAGTGAGTGAGTGAGTGAGTGAGTGAGTGAGTGAACGAAAGAGACAAAAGCAAAGCCAGAAATGTTAATAAAATAATACATTACATTACATAATGCAAATATATAATATAGTATTTTATGATATATTATACGGTAATTATATATACTACCATTTAAAAATGTGTGGTCAATAAGATTTTAAATTACTTTTTTTTTTTTTTGAACAATGTGTTTATTTGATCAAAAATAGAGTAAAAACATTAATATTGTGAAATATTAAAACAACTGTTTTCTATTTGAATACATTTAAAAATTTAATTTATTCCAGTGATGCAAATCTGAATTGCAGTCTTCAGTGTAACACGATCCTTTAAAAAACATATTAATATGCCAATTTATATACTAATTATTATTGATTATGGATATTATCTGATGAATAACAGAAGTGGTTATTTCGCCTATTCAGTTGCAAAAATCTGCTGACAGCCTTGGGCATAAAATCTGTTTTTTTTTTTTAAGCGAGTAAATATTATGCAAAAAAAACCTAAACGGGATTAAATAAAATTTAAATTCATCAATTTGTGTGCATTTTATTTGCAATCATTAGATTCTATTTAATCCAGCTGCAAGGAAAAGTATTTGAACCCTTGGATTTACCATGTAAATTTGATCTGATCCTCAATCAACTCATCAGGAATAGACAAACACAGTCTGCTTAAGCAAATACCAATACAAACTACTTCATTTCTTTACAAACACACTGCGTGAGTGGAATGAGTATGTGAACCCAATTGGCCTTTCTTTGGCAGCATTAACCCAGAGCGGAGCATGCATATAGGAGAAATAGGCAGCCGCCAAGAATGACAGCACAGTCAGGCCAGCAAAAAAGGAGAGAGATTTAATTTTTATTTTATTTTATTTTATTGGACATTCATTTGGAATTACTGCACTCATAAGAACACGTTATCACCCCATTATTCTAATTCTAATTTAACTCCCACGCCGCCACCACTCCACTTTGAGAGCGGCATCTCTACACGCTCTTCAATATTCTACATGCAAAACACACCGATGTACATCCAAAAATGTCATCAAAATGAATAAATCTATCAGGAGATGAATACAAAACACTTTTGCTGCTGGTGATGACTAAAGAGTGTTAAAGCTCGACACACGCTTCTGAAAAGTACGCTTATGATGTGTACAAGTGTGTGTGTCTGAGAGAAAGCGAGGGAGACACTGGCGGAGGGTGAACCAACTCCAGAGTAAGTAAAAGTAGTCTATTGTAATCTATTTAATACGCACATCATGAAGCCATCTTTTTAGGCAAGTAGCCTACCAGATATGGGTGTCATGTCATAAAATATTTTTTTATATGACTAAATTTGTATTTAACGGGAGCTCAATTAAATAAAACATTCTAAGTTACAAATTATAACGCTTTCATTTTCAAACTGTGAAAAATTTATACTGTAGCTACACAGAAAGCGAGCAAAGAACATATACTTGATCAGAGAACATTATCACTGACTACACTGTGAAAGGAATCTCTTACATCGTACGTACATCTGCACTTTGTTGTTTATGATAAGAGAGAATTCGCGACGAGATGAGAGATTGCAGAATTTCAGACACTCGCACTCGCACTCAACAAAACTCTGGTTGGTCACTGCATTCATAAAATCAACAGAATCGTGTGTGATCGATTAGAATGCGAAACGCTGTAAAAATGCATTAAAATAAATATGATGCAACATGAGCATATCTAAATTTAATGCTGCAATCAACACTTTTCATTTCATTTTCACTTTATTCGTGTCACCCGTAATAGTTTAATTAGTACAGGGGCACTTTTGTCCAGTTTGGTGACATTTTTGCTCCCAATATTTCCGAACCGTGGCCAGGGGAAGACCAAGCCTATGGGAGGAGAAGTCATGTGACTCAGCTTATTGCATGAATAATATTTATATCTGCCATATATTAATATTTATAACCAATATGAATAGCTGTGCATGCACAAGCGACGGGTATACTTCAGCTGTACGAGCACCTCTTGCACCACTTTCCGTGTGTCTCTCATTGAAAATTAACTAACCTGTGCTTTCCGTGTCCTGAACAGCCTTTATGTTGAGCTGCCCACCGCATATTCACCCGGATCTTCCGATGGCCTGTACATATACTTATTAAATAATAGCCTATAATACCGAATTTGCAGCAGTAGTTGTGTGCATTTTTTTTTTTACATCATGAAATGCTCATGTATGCTTTTATTTTAGTGCAATTGTATCAATAAACAAAATCTCTTGTGCATCTTAAAGATCATGTTTAATTTGTGACACTGAAGTGGGGGCGGCACGACGGTGTTTCGCCTAGAGCAGCTGTTGAGCTTGTGCCGGCCCTGCATTAACCTCTTCTAAACAAAACGGTTTCAGTTCTGCAATATTTAAAGGTTATCTATCTCTCTAGGTCATGCTAAAGCATCACAGTCGGGTTGAGGTCAGGACACTTCTGGGTCACTCAAAGTGGTGTATGACAGACAGATGGACTTCAGTCTCCTGCTAAATGGCCTGAATCTTATAAACTTGGGAGTAAATTTTCCAGTAAGCTGTCCATTCGACCTTTTGCACATTTTTGACATGCAGCAATGCTTTTTTGGGACAGCAGTGGCTTCCTCTTTGCAGGACACCCACAGCGCTGAACTTTCTCCATTCATAGACAGTTTGTTTTACTGTGTGTTGATGAACATGCAGAGATGATTTCGTAACCCTTTTTCAGTTTGCAAGTAGACTTGTGCCGGTATTCGGTAATGCGATATATTGAACTTATGATTCAATTTGTACTGTGAAATAAGCATTGTAGGCATTAAATATTAATTTGGTTATACCTAAATTCCACTTAAATTTGATCATTAGACATGTGATTGTGTCTGAAACGAGTTTCCTTAGGAGGTAGTAGTATCTTCATACAAAACCACTGTCTGTCATTGACTGAACTGAGAAGTGAGGCAAAATGAAACTCCATGGGTTCACATACTTTTTCTTGTAACTGTAGGCCTATTGCAGCATTATGTTTATCGGCCAGTAGCTACCATTCTCTCTAAATATTGAAAAAGTCACATTTGTTGACCACAAATCATATTATATTATATAATAATAAATTATAATTATATAATTATGTAGTTCTAATATATTAAACATTTATTTAATTTTTTAATTAAATAATAATTTTTATTAAATAATTTAATTATATAATTATAGTTATACTGTATATTAATAAAATGTATAATACTTCATTATATAATATGATCCATTTATATACAGTACAATACCATTCAAAAGTTTGTGGTTGTTTTTTTTTTTTACAGAAATCTTTTGTAATATTATGAATGTATTAAGTGTCGCTTTTGATCTATTTAATGCATTTTAGATTAATAAAAGATTAAATTAAAAAAAAAGACTTACTGATCCTAAACTTTTGAACTGTAGCATGCATATAGGTAATTATACATTAAGTAATCATGCTCATATTTTTTCATGCTTATAATGTAATACTGACAACAATTAATCTATCTATTCAAATGCATTTGAAAAGGAGGTGTGCAATTTTTACTAAGCCTGTTTGAAAATATTACACATTTTCTAGACATTTAATTCATAAAACATAATGCACTAATAGCCAATTGCTGAGATATGACATTCATATCACATTTGTGACTATAAACACACACGCACAAACACAAACGCAGTGCTGCTATTCACACCGTAAGAGTGTGTGACACTCTGCCAACTGCGGCTGACAGATAAGGAGGGGGTCCTGACCATGCGCCGCACCGATTAGCAGAAGAAGTGCACAGAAACTATAGAGAAGCTCTCCGGTAATGCTAGCTCTTATCTGAGCTGATAGCATACTGCTTTAACAGGCATCTCAACTAGAGCCCGACCGATATATCGTTTTGCCGATATTATCGGCCGATATGAGCCTGAATATGCCGCCGATATGAAAATTTTTTTACAGAACATATAACGCAGATAAAATGCTTGAAATTGTGTAATTACTTAGTTTGTCCAGCAGAGCGCGCTCTATTGTTTGCTACTGGCGACCTGGATGAAACGCTTTAAAGCTTAAGTCTATGGAAAACCATTGAAACTTTGAACGGCCATATCTCC